TGTAGCCATCCAATGCGCCGCAATTAAAGAATAAATTACTGAATTACTTTTCAAATATTATTTTCGCAATGATTACATTTTTTTAAAAATAATCCTTTTCGCTGTTTAATACTACCGTTTTGCTCTTTTGATTTTTAGCACTTTCAAGTTTTTTTTTAAGTAAATAATTTCGTGTGAACGATTAAATAAATTTTCGCCAATTTTATCAAATATTACTGTAACATGAATTTTTAATTAAAATAAACATACGTATTACGATAACATGTATAGTATGTCGGTCAAAGGAGTATAGTATACATTATCATATGGAATGTAATTTCGATAAAAAAAATTATACTCATTGTATAAAAAATTTATACCTGTAATAAATAACTTCGATTAATAAGAGTTAATAACACAATACACGGAAGTCTTGGAATCGGGAATAATTAATTTTTATTCTAACATTGTTTATGGTTTTTTTTTAAGCTTTTAATGAAGATATCTTAATAACGACTTGGCTAATTTAAATGTTTAAAGCTTTTTTTGAATCATATTAATTTATATAATTCGAAATGGCTTCGTTCAAAATTTGAGAATACTGTATTGTTAGAAATTTTTATTGTTTGGCTAACAAAACAAAAGGTCTAATATAATAATAGATATTATACTAGAAATTAGGTTTCAAAGAGAATCTTTGAAATATGTTTGGTGACAATTTGTAAAAAATGTGAATTTGAAGAAATTTTGCATATTTCTGTGCGATGGGTATTACAGTAAATTGAAAAGCGCAATAATAAATAAAAACAATTATGTAATACGTAGAATCGAGCAAAAATATTTTGTGTTTGGATTCCAAAATTAGTATAAAGTGCATAAATTGAGACTAAATTCTAAATTGGCTAATTGTTGAATTTTATAAGTATCGTTATGTTGATTTAAAATTGACGCGAAATTAATTAATAATTTTTGTTTTGAATAAAATTAAGCCGTGTGTTCTTAAAATACACAAGGCAATTGGAATTTTTATGGCCTATATGAATTAATCTTTCTCCATAAGCAAGTAAGAGGCATTACAGATTTAATTAATATCATTGTCCCAATAACGACCTTTAGCGGTTTCGATGAATCTTGAAAAACTTTAATACGGAAATCATAATATTCTTGTATTAACAGATTTGCTTTCAAATGCATTACAAGATGGATGGATGTTCTTGCAGCTCAGTCGTCTTTTAAAAAACTTACAGTATAGAGCGATTTGACAAATAAGAATTTCAATCTCATTTTTATTTTATTTTATTTTTTTTTTTGTTAATTTATAATGATTAATTTTAATTTTAAATCCATTTAATAGGTGGAGTCGAAATCCACAAAATTCGATCACGACGTACAGCAGTTATACATAATGTATAAAACATGATTCAATCTATACATTATGTAAATAAATGCCATAAAAAAATATACATACCGTATAATTTAAACCACAAAAATATTAAACGATAGGTTTCATCGGTATCACAAGGTAGAGGATATTTTACACCATCGAGAAAATGATATCCAGTCGATTTTTTAATTTTCGATGGCGATAATAATTGCATTTCACGAGCTATATTTACTATACTCATCTAACAGGCTATACTACTGTATACTGCTTTACTATATATTCCCTACTTTAAGTCATACTGCTATACGAAAATCCGAAAACAAAATGTGTTTTTGTTTGTTTTGTAAGCGTGTGAAAAAAATTTAGCAACTTAGCAGTAAAATTTATTTCAGTATTACTAACTAGAAAACTACATAATACCTATTGCAGTATTGTATCAGGGTTGCTGTACGATTTCTAAAAGCTATTTTTCAGAAAGAATAAATGCTGACTAATTATTTTCTTTCGGGAGAATGAACTTGAATTACATTATTATATTAATATTAAAACAAATCTATTAATTAGCAATTTCAGTAGCATTTTATTTATTTGTCGCACAGTAGTATTGTATTAATATTAATAAAAATAAACTTGAAATGTTCGTGTTCGTGTCAATTATTTTTTAAACAAAAGTAAAACCGCAGCCCAGAATATAATTAAGGAAGTGGAATTTTCGTTAATGTTTTAGATAATTTTGATTTTTTTTTATTCTTTACTAGTAGAAAGAATTCTGGAAGTGCATAAATAAAAATAAAAATAGGTTGAATTTTTTTTTTATTGAAGAAAAAACGATGTTTTTGATTTTGCGGCCGTGCTAAGGCGACATGATCTAATTCAAGACAGAATTTCATGCGTCCAATCACAACTTGGGGAATGTCAAGTGATCTTTGTAATCTTTTATATAAAAACCATGACTTGTTAATCAATCACTCAACCAGTATAAAAATGAATCATAATCTGCATAAGGTTCTCAAGGATACATTTTCATCAACGAAACTTCGCTTACCAAACAAACCATTAGAGGAGACCAGGTAGGCATCGCAACAGTGTTTTAAATATGTGCAGTGTCGACTAATATGAATTGCAGCCTTCCCTATCCGCTTGCCTCGGATGTGTCCATGGAGGATTATAACATTTTTATCGAAAAAATAGAGACAAATGGATATAAATTTAGATATTACAACGGCACTGTGTATATAGTTGAGATGTGTAAAAATGATCATGAAGCTGTTATTGATGGGCTGCGTGGGTATTTCGCTGCTCACCGCCATACTTATACTCTTTCTAATGCTCCAATACAAATTCGTGGTTCGCCGTGTAAGGAAATTTTTTTTCGATTTATTTGATCTTTCATTTGATATTATATATATATATTTATTTTTTTAACCTTTTTTATGTCCTTTCTATAGCTCATGGATCGCCAGCTGGAGATGGTAGTCTCATTTTACCAGATATCGCTGTCTTTCCACATAGAACCTATGTTCCGAGACCTCCAGTTCCCCACCCTGGTCCGCCACCCAGCGATACAAGTGTATGTGTTATTGTCCACGAAATGGACATAACCAAATATCAATCCCAGATCAGATGATCGGATAATGACTGAATAGCACACTGACTGCTTCGCAACCAATGGTCATTCCGTCATTATCCGATCATTTGATCTGGGATTGATATTTGGTTATGTCCATTTCGCGGATAATAACTGATTTTTCCCAAGTCCTATTATACCTCTATATTATTTCTTCAAAGTAAAATTACGTATCCAAAATCTGGACAATAATCGAGAAGGAATAGTATAGAAGTATAAATAAGAACCGGGGGATAAGCATTTTTGATACTAGTATGGCAGATAGGAAATTTTATAACACTTAATGTGATTAATATAGAAAAACCCTTACGCAAGAATAATTGGTGAAATAGCTAAGGCCCAAACTTACTCCGACTTGAAGAGAAAATGCAAGCTTTGGATGCAACAATCGTACGTACGATCTGTAATCGGAATTAAACTTTATAAATTAATGAATACACGCAACAACACACTAGGAGAAAGAGATCGGGCGATGAAGGTATATCATATTTTTCTCATTATTTTATATTTATATAATTTATATAATTTACTTTTAAATATTAGGCTACACTCTGGCGGCAAGGTGTTCCAAGACAAAAGGTAAGTAGACTATTGAGGAAGAAATTTTTACTTCCCGCTTTTTTGATGCACAAAGTCCATATTTATATGATAGTGGAAATTTGGTACTGTAAACAAAGACGG